TCTCCCTCCCTCTGCTGGGAACTGAACCCAGGCTCTCTGCTGGGTAAACAATCTCTCTGTCACTAAACCAACCTTCTGGTCCATTTCTTCCTTGTGTTCCCTTTCTTGGTCCTGCCAAGTTTCTTCACAGCCTGCATTTTCTTCTCTCTGGTCTAATTCAAGGAGGCCCAGCACACGTGTATGAAGACTGGGGATGGGAGTGGCTCTGGCCAGAGCCCCTGCCCTGTCTTTAGTGCAGGAGAATCAGGAGTTCACCCACAGGGCAGCTGTCAGTGCTGGGTGAATGGATGAGTAAAAGTGAGGGGGTGGGGGAGGTGAAGGTGTGGGAGGGACCATCTTTTAAGTAAAAAGGAAAGGATGGAGGGGAGAATGATGGACTGCTTAATGACAAGCCCCACCCAGGTACCTCAGCCAGGGTACCCAGTTCTCCTGCCTCCCTCCATCCATCCTGAGCCCCAGTGCCATCCCAGGAGCTGTTTTCACCAGCAAGGCCCATTTGCTTCTCTGATCTTCTGGGCAAACCAGAGAACAGGAGGTCCCTCAGCTCCTGGACCACAGGTTCAGCCCTCCTTACCTCCCATTGAGGGGCAGCTGGGATGAGGACCCTGGCAACCTGCTCACAGAGTGATGTCTGGGCAGATTAGAGCCCCAGAGCCAGCAGACCTTTTAGGAGGCCTTTGTGGGGGAGGAGAAGGGGATTTTCCATTCTCTGAGCAACTGGATTACACAGTCAGGGGATCAGGGAGGAACTAGCTGCTTAAGCTGCTGCCTCGTGGCCCAGCCTCTGCTGTGTCTCTCAACCTCTCATTTCTCAGCAGGGATCTTAACAAGGCTTGCCCTGCCTGCTTTTGAGGTATCTTTTGTGATCCAAATAAGGTTTAGAGGCAAAACTCAGTCTCATCTCCTGGCCTGGTCCTGCAGCTCTGACACAAATGGGTGTGAGTACAAATGAAATCAGCTACCAATCCTCACTTTTCACAAAGCTCTGGAGGTGGATCCAGAAACTATGGCTCAGAGAGGTTAAGCAACTCGATCTGAGTCACACAGTAGGGCGAGATGACCAGGATGGTTTTCTGACTGTGTGGGCTTATGGGAGCAAGATCTCCTGGAGAATAAGCCACATCTATTCCAGAGTTAGAGGCTCTGTTGTCTTGCACTACAAGTTCGCCCCTGAACTTCCTGTCAGCCACCATGTGCTTTACAGTGAAGGGGAACCTTCCTCCATTTGGTCTCTGAAGTTGCAAGGGACCATAGTGGATGGGAGAAGATGGTGGAGGTCAGGCAGGTGAGGTTTGAAGAATCCTAAGTTTGGGGGCTTAGTGGTATAGCATGTGACTAGTGTTCTAAATGGGGTTTAGTCCTTAGCGTGTGCACATGCACGCGCACGCGCACGCGCACACGCACACACACACACAGAGAGAGAGAGAGAGAGAGAGAGAGAGAGAGAGAGAGAGAGAGAGAATGAGAGAATGAGAGGAAAAAAGAAATCTAAGTTTAAGGTCTAATCTCACCCTCTCTTGTGTGATTTATGTGACCTTGAACAAGCCATCTCCCCTCTCTTAGCTGCAAAATGGAGATTAAAAATATCTTTCCCAAATTATTTTGAAGACTGAATAAGACAAGGTACTGGAAAGACACCAAGTAGTACAGTACCTGCTATATATTAATTGTTCAGTAAATAACAGTAGAGGCAAAGTTCTTTAACCAGGAGCTGTGCCCATTCCCCAGAGCAGGGGCATCTGCTACATAACCTGACAGTTGGCTCTTTTCCCTAGGAGGGCAAATCCATCATGCTTAGCAACCCCTGCCCCCCCACCTGGTAGAAGGTTATTGGGGGGTCATGCCCCATACCCTGCATCCATTTTCTAGAAAGACTCTCCACATAAGAGGCCTCAAGCCCCACCCTAGCCCCATGTGGCCCCTAGAGGCCTCTTGATGACATAATGACCATCTCTGACCTTTCTGGTGGCCTGTGTTCTCTCTAGCCAGAAAATTTCTATGATCCTATGACCCCTACAAGCCCTACCCCGCTAATGGCTTTATGATCTTCCCCCATTGATTTCTCTTTGCCCTCCCTGCCCCACAGCCCCCCTTCAGTAGGTCCTCGTCAAAATAAACAACATTTATGACCAGAGCAAGATTCAAGGTCCACACTGCAAACAAATGCTGAGCCCTTTGAAGGTACCTGAGGGATCCATCATGTTCTGGGGCATCCTGGGGTGTGATGCTCCCCAGGCCCAGGGGAAGAAGGCTGAGAAGGGGCTCTCTGGCTCAAGATTTAGGACCCAAGGCTTCTGTACTGTATCTGGGCTCCCTCTTCAGTACCAGGCCCTGCAGAGGACAGGTCAGGAAGGGGAAAGAAGGACTGTGTGCACTCCTGGGGCTGAGAGGTTCCTGTGTCCAAAGCCTGACTCGGAATGTTATCCAGGGAGGAGATAAAATGAAAGGAAGAAAAAATAAAAGGCAAACGGAGTGGACAGATGCAAAAGAGCACACACAAAAGCATCACAGCCCAGACTCAACAGGGCCTTCCTCAGGCTGGACCATTAACCCAGTGCTCATCTCCACAAAGGAGCCATGTTGGTATATGCTCCTAAAGAAAAGTGGTCCAGGCTGAGACTCAGCGGTAGAACATTTGCCTAGAATAGGCAAGGTCCTGATTTCCATCTCCAATTACAAAGAAGGGAGGAAGGAAGGGAAGAAAAAAGGAGGAAAAATAAAAATTTGATCACTGTTTTTATAATGTCTGGAAAGGATGGCCAATGGAAGAAGGCAGTGGGAAAGAGACCTGGTCTTAGAAGACCTGAGAATCAACCCAAGTTAGTGATAACACTGAGGGATTTGAGGGTACTCCACACCAGGATGAACGCCTTCCTCTAAACATCCTCCAGTGGGGATAGATGGCTGCCTGAACATCCAGCGGGGGTTTGTCTCCAAGCCTCAGCCTGGCTCAGCCTCCTCCAGTGGGTTTGTTTTCAAGAGGGATGGGAACTGTTGTTAGAGGCTATTAATGTAGAATTCCCAAAGGCCTGGGTCTGAGAGCAGCTTTCCAGGACACACAGCTCAATGCTTCTTCCTTCAGCAACAGAACTGGGCCACGGGCCTGGGGGCTGCTGTTCTCTAAATCCCAGCTGGGGGAGGGAACAAGCACTCCACCCAGGATCCGTGCCTTCTCATTTTCTCTGCTAAAAATAGCATGTCATCAAAACAGGTTAGGTGAGGAATCAGACAGGAAACATGTGCCTAGCCAGAGTTACCTATCAGTAGCTATCAGTAGCGGCTTACATCATTTGCATATGTGTCATATCATTAAAATTGGATGCATGAGTCAGAGAGCCAAACAGTTTGCAAGAGATCGAAATGAAGGTATGTGGGGTTTTTTTTTTGTTTGTTTTTCCCAGGCAACTATGCTTTTTCCAAAATGATTCTCTTTCTAAATTGAAAGAATACTTTAAATGACTTTCTGTGATATCCAAGTGAATTTAGAATAACCAGTAGAGGACTTTGGAGTTGGGTATCATACTCTCCACATAGAAAGTCCTGCCAGACATAAAGTTTTAAAGGTAAAAGAACGTCAGAGAACATCTGGACCCCTGGGAGTGTTCTTTAGGGTTTTTTTTTAAATAAGATGCTAGAGATGTTGGTTGGATTGGTTTGGAGTCTGGGTACCTGGTTTGTTTTTCTTTTAAACAAACAAACAAACAAACAAACAACTTCCCTGATGATTATACTGTTGCAGCCAGGGAAGACAACCATCCATGTAGGCCAATAGATCACTTTACAGATAGACGTACATACAGCTGACCACACCAGGACAGGGGAACTGACCTGCTATTCCAATCCTTATATCTCTCTCTAGAATGTTTGTGAAATGAATTACTAAGGTGAGCAAGGTGGAACAGTATGGGCCTGTAATCTCTGCACCGGGCAAGTTTCAGCACAAATTCTAGGTCAGCCTGGTCTACTTAGTAAGACCCTCCTGAGAGAGGTAGAAGGGGTAAGGGGAAATGGAGACTTCTTGGCTTGAGGGAGGGGGGATCTGTCTACACACATCAGCCTTCCAACTCCATCTCCCTCCCCTTTGCTTTTGTGGTCTCATCAGAGCCCCGTTCCTCTAAGTTTTCCATCTTAAAGAACTCTGGATTCTTATAGGAAAAATATGTCAAACTCCCAGTTCTAAATCTGTCCATCAGCCACCAAGGGTTCCAGGACAATTCTTGTTCCTCGGCTATATAAACCAGGGGAATGAATGTCAGCATAGGGGTAGCAGTGGTGATGGTGATGTGTACACATATACAGACACATAAAGATGCTTAGATACCTGCACAGAGGCTCATCTGGTATGGGGACATAGCCTGCCTATCAGAGGATGGCCCTGAGAATGTTTACTTATGTATGGGTAAAAAAAAAAAATCAAGCCGGGTAGTGGTGGCGCATGCCTTTAATCCCAGCACTTGGGGGGCAGAGGCAGGCGGATCTCTGAGTTCGAGGCCAGCCTGGTCTACAGAGTGAGTTCCAGGACAGCAAGGGCTACACAGAGAAACCCTGTCTCGAAAAACAAAAAACAAAAAACAACAACAAAAAAATCTTCGTGTGGTTTTAGACTCCTTGATGTTTATGTAACAGGCCAAGTATGTGTTCAAAAAGTATGTGCAAATGCATTAAAGACTCTGAAATGGTACATGGACCTGGAATGGTATACAAGTGCTGAAGGTTAAATTCACATTTACATTTTCCTGTGAAAGCACACAGAAGAAGACGTGTATATGTCAGGCAGTATGTGTGTATGATGGTGCAGGTTTATGTGTGAGAGAGGTTTCTGCCTTTTCTATCATGCTTCTAAGTAATCACTGGGAAATGTATGTGTCGGGAAACAGTATCGTTCATGCTTAAATATGTCTCGGCATATATAAATGAAACATGATATTGTGCCAGGCGAGAGGCTGCATATTAGTGTTGTTTGTCACTGATAGAATTAAATAACCCATGCAAAGCCCTGGTAGCGTTTCTTACAGTTTTATTTAACACTTTTTTAGCCAAGCAGCATTTGGCCAGGGCATACACACTGCAGATTACTACAATAAATGTGAAATTGAGAGATTATAGCATATGATACATGAGAAGTATACCAGAAGAGTGTAACCAAAAGTCCCAACTGTCCCCACCTTTCCTTGGGCGGCTTCACTTTCTTTCTTCAACCCTAGTTAAGGCCCATTCCTTCACACTTCACTGGGAGGCCTCTGCATCTGTAGTAAGTGGAAACAAAAGGCCCAGTAAGGATTTAGGGCTGGGGAGAGATAAAACTCCAGGCTCTGGGTCTGGAATGTGTCTGCTCCTCCTAGTCTGACAGAAGCAGGCCCAAATTCCAGTTTGAGGAAAAGAGGAAGACCAACCCAAGCAACCTCACAGCTTCTGCAAGCCCTTGGCCTGGCTGGCAGAGCTACTCACTCAGAAGAGGGAATACACATCCCATTTATCAAGTTAGTGGCAGATCTTTCCTGGGAAGATGCATCAAACCAGGTCCCTGCTTCTTTTGTTTAAGGAGATATTATATCCTTGAGGTGGCTCAAATGAGAACAAGTTTGCACCCAGGCACAGACCTGCCAGCTCACCTTTAAGAATGAAGGTTGAAGGCCCAGAATGCTGGTATATATACCTTTAATCCCAGTACTCCAGAGGCAAAGGCAGGTAGATCTCTGAGTTCCAGGACAGCCAGGGCTACACAGAGAAACCCTGTCTTGAAAGACAAAACCAAACCAAACAAAGAATGAAGGCTGGTCAGATAACTTGGATACAAGCTGTTTGCCCGAGGCTAAGCAAAGCTGGTTAGTTGGGAAAGCAGGGTCCCCATTTGAAAGGCCAAACTCGGGTCTGAATAAGAATGTTCTGGAAGAAGAGCTTACCAGCCATTGACACTGAAGGGAAATCACATTTTATCCCGGAGAAGATAACTATATGACACTTGCAGGTTGTTCCAGATTTGCCCAGGACTCAACATGGAAGCTCAGTGTTCTCCTTCATGCCCTGTTGCTAACATCCCTGGGTTCCATTTTGGTAAGACTGATCCATAGAACCCCTCCCTCTGCCCATCTTCCTGACCTTGAAGTTTCTCTGCCTTGAAGTTGTCCTATGCAAACATCCCAGCACTATGAGGCCAGGGAGGCTAAACCTAATCTGAGTAGTAATTGGACTCACCCCTACTCTGCAAATACAATTAATACCAGCTAAGTAGTCACCGGCACTATCTTCTCTGACAGCCTCCAGCCTCTCTCCATCAGCAGGGATAGCAGCCAACCTGAGTGGGAACAGCACCACAGAATACCATTGTCATCCTCACACTGCTGAGGTCCAGAGATTGGTCCTGAGAAAATAAGGAAAAGAAGAAAAAGAAGTAAATAAGTCTCCCTAATGTTTGGATTCAAAGTGTGAACAGTACAAAGTAATATTCACAGACACACACACACACACACACACACACACACGCAGAGAGAGAGAGAGCTATACATACAAAGACACAGAGAGACAGAGAGACACACAGATACACACACATACACACACACACAGATACACACACACACACACTCCACAAAGACAAAATGATGAATCATCTCTATGACTGAGCATCCTAGCATTAGGTAATATTCTCAGAGGCCCAAGGTTTTCAGCCAAATCCCAGGTCTAAGCACAAGGACACTGCATAAATCCTTCCCCTTATGAAAGGCTAGTTTGAGCAGATGGGACCACTCTTAAGTAAACTGGAGAGCCCTCCCTTTGCCTGACTCAAAAGGAGAAGCAGGGGGCTGGCCCTCCTATCCTGGGAGCAGGAAGCTGGCCTGGTGGCAGAGGCCTGAAGCTGTTAATTCTGCCCCTCTTGTTCACATCTCCAACGTATCTCTCTGGGGGAAGGTATCCATCCCTTTGACCACACAATCCGACCTCCCCTCCCTAAGGGGAGGTCAGGCTGGAGGAAGCTGCTGCTGAACAAGTGGTGGCCAGAGGTGAGAAATCAAAAGGAGCTCAGAGAGCTGACCCAGCAGGAGGAGGTGCAAAGCATGGACTCCTCCACCACAGTTTATCTCCAGACTGAATCTGGGGATGTCACCTCACAGATACCCCACTTACTGATAACCACCTCATTAACATTTATTAAACAAAATATTCTAGTGAAGAAGAAGAAGGAGATAGGGAACTAAGCATTCCGTGGAGGTAGAGGACATCTCAGTTCTGTCCACCCTCAACCTACATAGCACCAACTGCCACCCCAGGCCCTGCCCCTTTCCCCAGGTGTGTCAGGAAGACACAAGGCAGGTGGATGAAGAAAGAGACAGACTCAGGCACCCCAGGTGCTCAACAAGAAATGCACAGACTGTGAAATTACACCAGGGCTGGACAACTTACCACCACGCATGAACCCTTGGGGTACTGAAATAATTAACTTGCTAATCAGCTACACCTTGCTCTTTCTATTCTCCCTGGAAAAACAAAAAATGCAAATTGTCTTCCTGTGTCAGTCACTTGGAAACAAATAATGCTTTTGAAGAAACACACCCTCTGTTCACTGCACAGACTGAAATGGGTCCTGGTGTGTCTCGCTGCTCCCCCTTGACCCACCACTGCCCACCAGGCTTCCGAGAGCACAGAGACAGAATGTTTTTGGAGATGCAGGGTTTTTCTATCCCCAGCAGAGCCTTTCCAGCTCTGCTAAGCTTTCTCGCTTGGGCCCTCTTTAGCCTGCTTGCTGACGCTAAACAGCCAAGATCCGTGTGGAGAAAGGAGGATTGATTAGAATCTCTGGCATTGGTCCGGCTTTAGTGGTTACAAAGTATTTTCACACATTATCTCATTCGGTCAGAGGAAGTCAGATCTGGAAAGGACCTCAACAATCAGTCCCAAACACCTGTATACAGGCAGGGAAACTGAGGCCCAGAAAGGTTAACTAGCTTCTTCAAAAGCTGAGTGGCAGTGTGATCAGGTAGCAAGGCTCATTTTCTAGAACACTTGTGTTGCCTGAGATGCTCTGAAACGGATCGAAGAACATACTGGCTTTTTGCTTTGCAATAGATATAAACCAACACATCAAACAATTAGCAAGACATGAAAATGAATCCAAGTTACTCCTATAAGCAATGCCCTCTGAAAGGGTGAAAGGAGAGGCTCACAAGGAGAGAAGCTAGTGAGCCTAGTCCAGAGTAGGCATGTCAAAGACTCTCCCCTACACCACCACCATCTTTCTATGCACCACCATCCCATCTCCTGGGGTTTAAAGATGTGAATATTATACACTTTGAGGTTTGAGGATTAATGTGGGACAAGTGGGCAGAAAGGAGCTTTCCCAGGGTTCTAACCTGGTAGCTACACCAAAGGGTTCACAGCATAATGAGTCTGTGTGTCCACACAAGACATGAAATGTGGCATTGGAAAACACACACCTTGATCCTGGTACAGATCAGATAATTTACAAATTAATGGCTCTTTCCCTCCAAGGCTCTGAAAAGGTTTACAAAATATCTTTCTGAAGAAGGAGACATGAGGATAAAAGATGGACAGCAGAAATATAAATAGGGCAAAAGAAGCCACACAGACACAGTTCTGCCAGGAACACATTTCCCAGTGAGTGGCACGTGTGTTCAGTCTTCCTTTGCTTCTCCAGGCTTTAAATTTAAAGATAAGACCTGGTGGGTCCTTAGATGCCTGGTCTATTTACAGATGTATTTATAAACATGCAAGACACCATTTTTAGGTTCCAGGTTGCTAATTCATCACTTCTCACCTCTTCATCTGCCTCCTAAAACAAGTCTCCTTTTGACTGTTAGTGGAAGCCCTGCCTGCCCCATTGCCCAAGCCGCTTGGAAGGTAAGCGGTTCCTTTGTGTGTTCGTTTATTACTAAGCCCAACTCTTTTCCCTCTAAAACTCCTTCTTCTCCCTGTTGAGCTGACCATGCTTGTGGATTTATGAAGAGAGATGTTTTAGCAGAAATCCCCCAGAGTGTCCCATCAGCCCTAAATCCCAGGCCCGCTCACCCCCCCCCCAAGACCCCATGACACACAGCATGCCAACACGGCTTCCTCTTGCCTATGCATTAGCCATCCATTGTGGCAACCTGACATCTCTCACACATAAAACCGTAAGAGAGAAATAAAATATCTGTCTCTTGGCGAAAATAAAGCTTTGCCTCCCTCCTGATGTATAGGATATAAAATAAAGCCGCGGCTCCAATAGTGGCTTTTCCTTATGCTGGAGTTGCCTTTGCACACACGGAGACAATGAAGACGGATGGTTTGGGACGAGGCCCAGCCTCCTGGGGCCACCTTCACCCTCTTTTATTATAGTCTCTCTCCACCTCCCTGCCTTTTTTCTTTCTTCTTCACTTTCTTTCCTTTCTGGTTTCTATTTGCCTTTTATATGCCCTTCTCTTTCTCCATCTTAAAATTTAATTCCTTCCTCTCCTCTCTTTCTTCTCTCTCTCCTCTCTTAAAGCATGACAGCAATGGTGAGAAGCAAGTGTCTCACAATCTCTACCATGCCATCCACCTCTCTTGGTCTTCCCATCACCCTCAACTCTCTCTCTTGGATCTCTAGTCCATATAAGTAATTCTGCTGTTACTGCTTGAGGGGACTTGCTTTGGTCAAATGTACAAATGCCCCCAAGGGTCAATTAAGAATTGTGTTTAGTGAAGCTGTTGGTTGATTTTTGTTTGCTTGTTTCTGTTTTGCCCTAGGAAGCTGTGTCCCCTCCACCCTAGTCTCTGAATCTTTTTCCTTAGCCTCTGAGGAGGTCAACAGAGCAATGCTTTGACCTCTCAGAGACTACAGCGGACAGCCGACTTTCACATCCCAAAGCCTGGAAGCCTCATCAACAGGCTCACAGGAGACCTTGGGTCCCTTCAGCCAACTCAGCCACCAGATGACAGATCAGTCCTCTGTTTCTGCTCCAAGGTCCGGAGACCTGAGGGTGCACAGTAAGCTTTTCCCATGCCACATACTCTAGCACTGTCACAGAAGCCCAGAAGCTACCTGCCTTCTTACTCCTTACACATTCTTCCCTACCCAGCAGGAACCACTTCAGTCTCCCTTGGTCCCCAGAGACCTCCCCCTTGCCACATGACAACTGCTCTGCAGACTTCCATGTCTGAGTGAGTTTATATAGCTCTACAAGTTTTCTCTCATCTTTGGTCTAGCCTTATCCTTTCTACTAGGGTCTTTTCATCCTTCCCAAACTGTTTGGCACCTATGCTAAACCTCTCTAGCTCTGTCAGGGACTGAGGATACATCCATCCCTCTCTAGCTCTGTCAGGGACTGAGGATACATCCATCCCCGGTCCTGGAAGAATAAACAGTCACTCATGACCTCTCCTGGGGGAAGAACAGGAGAGGCAGAGCTGCAGACAGCCATGTGGGCTATGTCTAGCAGAGGGGTAGTGGGTGGCTTCCAGCTGAGACTTTAAGTCCCAGGTGCAGATCTGTGGAAGGCCCTCAGTGTGGGGGATCTGGCCACTCTATGCCAAGACCTTTGTTAGCATTGCCCCAAACTTAGACAGGCAAGGCAGTAACATCCATTGAACTCTGTCCAAAAAAGAGGGAGGTCCTGAGGATACCAGCTTAGAGCTGCCAACTTCAGGACAAACCCATTTTTAGTCCCAAAGGCTGTTAGCTTTGGGATCTCTCTCCCTCCCTCCCCTCCCACCTTATATCTCTCCAGATATCAGCAGTGACCACCACCATTAGGTAAGGGGAGAGAGTCAATTAGTGACAGGATTAATTACTCTGAGGCAGGAGCCCCGTTTGTCTTCCTTACCGGTGCAAGTGTGTGCTCAAACAGAGGAACATGGGCACGCACCCAAATACACATTGTTGTCACGCTGTCTTAGACGTTTTATTTATTTGTTGGATTCCTGCCCAGTGCTGCTCACACACTTTCCACAGGCGCTAAGTCTCCCACCAAACAGACTCCAATCTCCTTTACTCCAGCCCAGGAATGTGCCTGTCATACACACAGCACACCCAGATCCCAGTGGAAGACCCTGGCTGGGAGCTTCAGGATTCTCTACTTTTAGCTTCTCTCCACTTTTTTTTTTTTAAGACTGTCTTATTCTGTACCTCAGGCTAGCCTGAATATCACTGAGTAGTACCCTTGAACTCAAGCACTGGGGTTACAGTAGTGTACCACGACAAAGAGCGGATTTTCCATTTCTTTGCTTCACTCTTTCGTGTGATTCTCTCGACACACATCCTCATGCTCTTTCTGTATGCCTTCTCTTCTTTCCGCCCTTCCCATTCACTTCTGTCTCCTATGCACCCTGTCTCCCTTCTGCGATGACCATTGCTCAGCAGCGACTGAGATCAGCGAGCTCAATCTCGTAGCTCTAACTGCTCCCCATTCCATGCTCAGAGTCCCCCAAACCCTCACTCTGGATTGTTTACCCAGGTCAGGTGCACACCAGGACACCAGGCCAGACCGCCGGATACTGTCCTTTCTTGGCTTCGCGGTCCCTCCCCTATCACTGTCCAAGCTTGGCTTGAAAAAAGCCGCGAAGAGCAAAGCACGCTCCGGGGCATAGTTGCAAGGCCCACTTCCCCCAACTTCTCACCTTCGATAAAGCAGTGATGGGGAGCAGGCGCCCTTGCTTGAATTGGGATTTCTGTCTGGGAAAGTGTACAGAATAACAATCCGCCCCCTCTCCTACAACTCCCTTACTATGTGTTCAGGGGAGACACAATGATATAAACTGCTTATTAAGAGAGAGTACATCGGGAGAGGGAGAAGGGAAAAAAAGAGGCGGGGGACAGTGGATCAGAGAAGACTCCAGCTGAGCAGTTCCCTGTATTGCATAAGCTAAGGCTTCACAGGTCTGTGCAGAGTTTGTGTAGCCTCCAGATAGCATAGGGTTCTGAGTGCATCTAGCTAGCCCCTTCCTTCCTCCCCCTAGACCCGTAGTGCTGGATACGCGGGGTTTTGTGGCTGGTAGCCCTTGGAGCCTGCAGTCGCGCGGCCTCCTCGCCCTTTCCTGGGGACCATAATCTGGACTAGAAGAGAGAGCAGCTTCGCTGGGAATTAAATAGCAGCCAACAGTGACTAAGAAAGAGCGGTCCTTGTTTTGGTGGGGTGGAGGATAGGGATTCAAAGGCTCTTGACTCAGGAGGCAAGGAAGAACAGCGGATGTCTGAGCGGGGAGGACTGGCCAGCCCCATTTCTGAGACACGGTGTCTCCGTCCTTATAAGCTGATTTTTGAGAATCTTCTCAGAAGACAAACCTCGGTTGCGGAAGCCACTCTTTGAGTCCTCTGGGGGCTTTTCTCACAGTGCGTTGGGAGTCGGGTGGTGGAGACTCTGTGATAGCTCTGTGGTCGCTGAATGATGACAAGGCGTTCAAACTGGATCTCTGGACACCCGCCGGGTATGAATGGAGGAGGGTCTATGTGACTTTGAAGGATGGAAGGTAGGAAAACGGGTCTACTTGAGATCGTGGACTGCTCAGTGGTGTAGGTGGGGAGGGAAGGTTGGGAATCGTCAGAGGTCATACATACGCAGAGCAGAGCTCAGTGGGTTCGGAGATGGATTTAGAAAGCTGGGTCAGTTTTCTCTCCTTGTCTCTACTACTGATTACATTTCAAAATAAGAGCTCAATGGAACTGGTGGTGGCGGGGTTGTTAATTGTGTGTTCTGTCACTGTGAAAGCATTAAATCCAGATTTTAAACATAAAATCAAGGAACCAAGAGACACACCTTGCACTACGCTCTTACACACACACACACACACACACAGAGAGAGAGAGAGAGAGAGAGAGAGAGAGAGAGAGAGAGAGAGAGAGCGCCAGGATTGACTCTCAGGACACCAAGACAAGCAGAACACTATGCCCTAGTACCAGTCTTCACCCCAACTCCCGTTCTCTAAAGGAGGCCCTGTCTCCCATATCTGTGTCTCAAAGTCATCGCACCCTAAATTACTTAAACAATCTCCCCTCGACTACCAAAGTCGGAAAAGGCAGGCAATGGAGTACAGTGTCGCCCTACAGGTTCCAGCGACAGTAATTTCCTAGTCCCTCCCTCCCAGGCCCCTCTGTTTTGCATGTGAAGTAGCCCAGCAGCCCGGGGTGTGAGCCGCTGGTGACCTGGGCGACTCAGAGATTCCCAAGAGGGGCTGTTGAGTTCAAGGAGATAGCATCTAGTTCTGGAACCGTTAGAAATCCAGAGCGTGGGGAACAACGGCCTCCTTCTTTTGGGTAGCCCTTGGGAGTCGTCGGGATAACAGGATCTAGCGCTCCTGACTTGGCTCTTCCTGGGGTGTCAGAATGCTGGTTATTAATCCACTTGTTCTAAGAAGTATTGGGTCCGCAGGAAGATCGCGGCGCTCTGTCTAAACCTGCAGAGCTCGCCCGTTAGATGGGAAGGCCTCTTCTTGCTCAGCCCTAAGTCTAAGCCTAGGAAAGACCGGGAGAGGAATTGATGCTTGAGAACTATTGGCTGCGCTACTTTGGTCCACAACTGCTCCACGCGAGTGCATAGGTGGCCAGGGGTACCGAAAATGCTTTAGAGGTCCCGCACTTAGAGGTCGGGGGGCTAGGGAGTGGGAGCAAATCTCTAAGGAGGCGTGTGAAGCAGGCCGTGGCGGGTTGGATTTACAAGGCAAAGATCATGAGGGTGGGAAGGCCAGAGCTGCTGAAGAGCTTCGGGGTTGCCAGGAGGTGCAAAAGAGAGCAGAAAAGGGGTCGTTGGCACAGTCCTTAAAAAAAAAAAAAAACCAACAACGCCATCAAACAAAAGCTAGATTCTTGGCAGCTTCTCTCTTCGCTGGAAGAGGGTATTGTGTTTGTGGATTCGGATTCACTGCTAGTCCAACTGCATTTATGCGTGTTTTTTCTCCTAATTTAGCTATGTGGAAGATCTGCTAAGCTCATCGATGAAATAACTCAAAAGGCAGATTCTGAAATACCGTCTAGATTTGGTTGCAGGGTCACCCTTATTTCCTTCCAAATTTGATCAAATGGGCCTTCCTAGCACCTCCCTCAAGAGCAAAAGCGGCATCGCTTTGAGATAAATTTGGGTTAAGCTTAGGGGGGAAAATCGCTACTGTTAACTTGAGTGCTCCTGGCAATTAGACTACTCTTAAAGCGCAAGACCTTAGGACCAGCATCGATTCCCACACCTAGGCAGTTTCGCCGCGGTCTCCCAAAGACGGTGGTCAGGAGTTTACATCGTGGACAGAATTAGGAAAGTCTAATATCCCTAAGGAATAAACTCTGGTAGGTCCGTTGATGTCTGAAGAAACGAAATTGCTCGAAGCCTGGAAAAGGGACGACCGGTCTGGGAGCCAGGCATATTCCATCAGTGCGCCACACGCCTCCGTCCCCTGCAGCCACGGTGCAGTACCCCGTTGCTACCACCTCCCCCAGCTGCGGGAGCCCCGCGATTTCCCACCTAGTCATTTGTTTTTGTTTGTAAAAGGTGTCTCCGGATCACAATTTTCTCACAACTTCTCGCCAGAGTTGCAGCTCCTCACCCGAAGCGCTTCCCCACCCACTCCTTTTCCCACCCTGGCGCCGGGCCTCCGGTATCCCCCGCCCCCATCAGGAAATCGCCCGAATCAACTTTCCAAGAGAGCGCAGCGGGAGATCGACACTCGTGTCTCCTAGACTCCCTGCCGGGTGGACTTTGGATGGACTGGGGGAGGGGGCACCGAAACAGAGACAGAAGGCGAGATTAAGCTGCCAAGCGCCCCCTACCTCTCCATAGACTCGGGCTATGCCGGGGGCAATTTCCAGGCCAAAAGAGCAAGGGGCGGGCTATCAACACCTAGTGAATTGCAAAGCCAGTGTACTAGGACCTCCCAAGCTTCCGATCTAGTTGAAATCTAATCCCAACAAGACTTTTTAAATATATAGGTTTGCCTTTACCCCCCACCCCCACCTAGAACTCGGACTTCTTCCGCGCTTTCTTTCCGCGCTTCCTCCCGCCTACTGTCACTCCCTAAGGCCGAAACCGACTACTTACCAAACCTGGAAGAGGCCAGGACATCTCACTGCTAGTCGCCGGCACCGCGCGGGCCCGCCGCCACTGATCCTCTAAACGCGGTCTCCCCGCATTCTCCCCGGCTGGGGGGGACGCAGAATGGTTTACAGAGGGACCGCGAGGCGCTGATTGGTCGCAGGCTGCCGTGACGTCGGCGGGCGCTGCATTAAGGCGAGGGGGCTTCCAGGGCTCAGCCAACAGCCAGGAGCAGTGACCGAGCCGCTGGAGCTGGGGAGAGACGCGCCGAAGACTGGGCCCGGAGACCAGGGACGCGCGCCCGGGGAGAGCCAACAGGGAACCCGCGGGCGGGACAGCGACGCCGGCAATCCGCGCCGAACTGTTCCAGTCGCTGTCCTTCTATAGCCGCAGCACCAGGACATTCTAAAGCTCTCCAGGACGCCCCCTCCCCCTGGCTTCTTGCGTGGACCAAGGAAAAGAAAAAGGGAGGGAAAAAGAAAGAAAAGAGACTAGAAAGAAAACCCAGATTTGCCACCGCACAAAAAAAGAGAGGGGCAAGGAAAAAAAAAAGTCGAGCGACTGCGGGGCCGGAACACAGGCAGCGGGAGCGTGGGCCGAGCGATGCGGGGCTGCGCGCCCAAGCGGCCGCGAGTTGTGACTGAAGCCAGGATGCTCGGCCAGGCGCAGTGAAGAGCCAGACCGCGTTGTCTCCCCTGAAGGAGTCCAAGCGCAGGGAGGGCCGCTCCGAGGACGCGGCAGGCTGCCTGGCAGGCCACCGGCCGAGGTGACAGGGCTGGGGCGGTGGGGAGCGAGCGAGTGTGTCCGGCTGCGTCCGCCCGAAGTTGCCCCTTTCCGTTTTTGACTGGCACAAAAAAGAAAACTCTCCAAGGGGGGGGGGGATACTTAAGCAACAACTACAATCAACAAAATATCCTACCCAGCCCGCCATCTCCCTCACCCCTCGGCCTGCCCCCACCCCTCCCCAGGCCCAGCGCGGGCGCCCAGAGCGTCCCGACTCGCTGCAAGAAGTCGGCAATGTAGGATCCAAAGCTTTCTACTCCCGTGTTCTTTTCTTTCCGTGTTTTTTTTTTAAAGGGGAAAACCCGGTGGTGGGCAGTCTGACACGCACACAACCTGCCTTCATACTCTGACAAAAGCAGATGCACTTTGACTTCTGACAGCTCTACCTCAAGCTGGAGAGAACCCAGCTTTCCCGAATCTTGAGCTCTTGTCTTCCTTTTCGTCTGTTTCCATTTTATTTATTTACGTCCCTCCGCCTCTCTCGGTGACCTTCACTCCTTCGCGGGCTTTGGGCAGAAGAGCCGCTTTCTTGTCCGCTTGAGACTGATTTTCCTCTGCTGGTGAGCTGAGGTGGCGTTGCTCCACCCCGCTGCCCCGGGACTCCCGGGCTGCCCAATACCAGCCTGGTCTCTCCCCCTTTTGATTTGCCATTACGGGTTTTTTGTTTTTGTTTTTGTTTTTGTTTTTTTTGCTTGCCAGACCAGAGCGGGTTTCTTGTTTTTGGAGGAGCTGGTTGTCTTCAGAAGTCGTTCCCTCGACTCTAATTGCCCTGTCGCTCCGGGCCTCACCGGACCAAACCAAAGACCATGGTGCACTGTGCGGGCTGCAAAAGGCCCATCCTGGACCGTTTCCTATTGAACGTGCTGGACAGGGCCTGGCATGTCAAGTGCGTCCAGTGTTGTGAATGTAAATGCAACCTGACCGAGAAGTGCTTCTCCCGGGAAGGCAAGCTCTACTGTAAAAACGACTTCTTCCGGTGAGTACTTCCCTCCCGCGTCTCTGCTGCTCCCTCTTCACCGGCCTTTCCTGGCCAGGTTCTAATCAGAGGTCTGTGTGGCTATGGCAGCCGCGTAAGGAGCTGCCTTTCACTAAGGCAGTCAAGTCCTTCCCACTTCTTTCTACCTTTTTAGGAAGCCGGCATGCTGAAATAGCTGTAGTGCTTGGTTCTGGATAATGTAGTCCAGGTTTGGCTGCCCGCTCCTGGGAAGAAAAGGTCTGAACCGGCTTGAGCTCAGAAACCCTTCCAAGCCGGGGGAGTAGAGCAGTTTCAGGGTTGCAGCTTCTGCTTGTCTTTTCCGGAGCTAAGCTCTCCAGCAACCAAACGCATTTTCCCAGATTGCTGGTCTTCCAAGTTGAGCTCCAGCTTTATTCCAGTCACTGCCTTTTACTCTTTGAGAGGTCTTGTCGAAACTAGAGTCCCTGTGTCCCAGAAAGCCACAATACAGAGCCCGACCTTGAGGGCAATCCTGCATGCCTAGGGGTCTCCAAACATGGATTGGCTTCTAAGCATAGACCTGGGAGAACTGTACCGCTCTTCTTTGGCCTCGGTCCAATGCCCAGGCTCCTCTTCGTGCCTTTTCAGCCAATGCCCCACCAGGAAGACCACCTCCTGGCGGACACGCGGCTCGTTAGAACCGGGAAAATTCTCTTCTGTTTAGCATTTTACATGCATTTTCTTAAACTAATTGTCCCGATCACAACTCAACAAAGAATGGCTTCAAATGTAAACTATATTTCCCACTGATTTGAAATCCCATACTTTACTCTGCTCTTTTGGTCTTGGTTTTTGAGACTAGCTCAAATCTGGGAGAGTTCGAAGCTACACTGCCTCCTTTTGCCCAAAGGCCGTGGAAGCGCAGTCCCCAGTGGCGATTCAGGATGCGCGCGGCTTGTGTTTGCGAAGAAGCCCCGGAAGCAAAGATTGGTGCAATCTGCTGCTGAGGAAAGGCTGAGTTTTGGATCTTCCGCAGACTGCTAGGGTTTTTACTTTGCAAGGCTGAATCCGAGCCTGAGATCCTAAGCCACGTCGGCTTGCGGGGCCGTGGGGCCCTCGAGGCCTTGCTAACGGCAACGCTCAGCAGGGCACCTAAAGCCTGCTCAACCCGGCGTCAGCTCCCGCTTGCGCCAATCTGCCAGGCTTTTGCGCAAGAACGTGGCAGCAGCCCAGCTACAGCCACCAAGGCTCTGAGAGTCAGTATTTGTTTACTCACCGCGAGATCGGACTTTGCCAAGTCTCCGCCTGAGCGCAGGTTCTTTTGTGGTGAAAGAAAGGCAAAGCTAGCGAATAGAGCGGGGCACGTAATTCTACGGAACTCTTAACTTGGATTTAATTTCTTTGACGATAACCGGGAAATGTGTAGCTCTGTTTCCCTTCTGCCCTCGTAGCCACTTCGAAGCCCTTCCTTGCGACGCTTTTTTCCTGGGGGCAATTCTAGGCATGAGGTTAGAGGTAAGGGGTAGCTTGGGCCTTCTCTCTCTAACCGAATGTATTCCCTCCTTTCTCCCTGATGTCCCGCATTCTCTCCTGTTTCCTCACTTGCTTAAAATTCTTATATTCATTCTTTCCCCCACCTCAACTTCTTCCCTGGTTATCTTTATTTCATCTGGGCTCCTATTTCTTCTTAACCCTCACCCACTCTACGCAGATGTTTCGGTACCAAATGCGCGGGCTGTGCGCAGGGCATCTCTCCAAGCGATCTGGTTCGGAGAGCGCGAAGCAAAGTGTTTCACCTTAACTGCTTCACCTGCATGATGTGTAACAAGCAGCTTTCCACCGGCGAGGAGCTCTACATCATCGACGAGAACAAGTTCGTTTGTAAAGAGGATTACCTGAGTAACAGCAGTGTCGCCAAAGAGAACAGCCTCCACTCGGGTGAGGCTAGGATTCCCAACTGGCTAGGGGGCGGGTATCGGGGAGGAAAATCCGGCAAGACCCCTGCTCACCAATCCTTTCCTTCTCCCCAGCCACCACAGGCAGTGACCCTAGTTTATCTCCGGATTCCCAAGATCCATCGCAAGATGATGCCAAGGACTCTGAAAGTGCCAATGTTTCGGATAAGGAAGGTGGTAGCAATGAGAACGATGACCAGAACCTAGGTGCCAAACGCAGGGGACCCCGGACCACGATCAAAGCCAAGCAACTGGAGACGTTGAAGGCAGCCTTTGCAGCTACACCCAAGCCCACACGCCATATCCGTGAGCAATTGGCCCAGGAGACTGGCCTCAACATGCGTGTTATCCAGGTCAGAACCCTGGTTTGTCACTCTGTCTCTCAAAGGCTCGAATGGTCACTAAGGGAACCGGAACCTAAGCTGAGCCCGGGAGAGTCCAGCGTTCTTAAGCTTGGGGAAGAAGTAACTAGGGCCAGGAAAAGGCTGGAAAGGGCTAGGAAAATTGGAATGTGAGAAAAAACCCACAGAGACAGAGGCGGTAGTGGCTAAATGGGAGGGAGCGGCTTGGGAGCTCAGGATAAATTTGGAGGAAAGCACAAGGTCCAACACTACACTGACAACAGCTAGCATTCATCTTTCTGTACTCATCCTGTCCCTCTCTCACCCTTTAGGAGCCAGTTGTGGGCTCCAGAGTCATTCCATTCTGGTTTCTGCATAACAAGCTCTCCTCTAATTCCTCAACCCCAAATTTGTTAGTTTTGTGGCCCAGTTAGAAAAGCCTCAGAGCAGAGACTTGCTCTCCCCATGTAGATAGGACACCATGGATTGAAGGAGAGGTGGTTTTTCAGCTCTGGAGTAAGACGGGAAGGCTAAGCCATCTGCAGATAGCTGGGCCTCTGCATTGGGCAGGGGCCAGATAGAGTGTGGCTCAGGCACTAGGACTTTGGCCTTACCTGTGCTATGTGTCTAATCAGAGTGCCTGGAGGCCAGGTGAGAGTGTGGGTAAATATGTCTGGGAGGCTGATTGTGCCTACCCTAGTGCTGGAAAAGGGCAGTCTCTGGGAGATTGTGTGAACCTGTGCCCATGAATGTGGGGTTGTGTGTCTGTCACTATTGGTGAGAGGCTGTGGCTAAATATGGTTGGCACTTGGAGATTGTATGTGGGTATGAAAAGCAGATTGTGGGTTTTGGTGTCACTCCGCTTGGGAAACAAGCAGCAAGAGGCTTTATGAATCTCCGTCACTATCATGATATGGGGTAGGGGCTACAAGAGACCCTGAAATGGTAGTGACAGTATCTTGGAGCGTTTCAATATCTATGATTCCTAAGACAACGCAATGCGAAAAACGTGACTGTTGGAAATAGTGGAACTGCAAAGTCAGACAAGGCAGTGGTCTCCCTCAGACCCTCTTCTTGGGAATCCTGCACATCCTTAGCCTGGCCCCACTCAGAGACCAACACACACCCGCGCGCTTACACACACACACACACACACACACACACACACACACACACAAACGCCCCCCTCCCCTCCAACTAGCTGGGCCGGGTTGTACACCGGCTGCCCAGTGGAGTTTCCACGGTCTGACTTTGTGCCTGTGTGCTTCAGGTCTGGTTCCAGAATCGACGCTCCAAGGAGCGGAGGATGAAGCAGCTAAGCGCGCTGGGCGCGCGGCGCCACGCCTTTTTCCGAAGTCCTCGCCGGATGCGGCCGCTGGTGGACCGCCTGGAGCCAGGGGAACTCATCCCCAATGGCCCCTTCTCCTTTTACGGAGGTGAGTGGCAAGGCGGTGCCCGGGCCGTGCGGGCTTCGCTGGATCCGGGTGGCAGTGCGGGAGGTACCTCTTGCTTTCTGTGGAGGTGTAAGGGCGAAGGCTGGAGAGCAAGTCAAAGGATATGACTGAAGTCCCAACCCCGTTGAGAAGAGGGTCCCCGGTAGGGAGCAGCTCCGAGTTTTGTGCCAAGTCTCCATACTGCTCCGGTGTCCCACAAACAGCCAGTTTCCCGAGCTACCGAGCGATACTCGCTGGCAAGCCTACCTTTGTGGGTGCTAGTAGACCCGGGGTTGCACCTGATAGCCTTCCCTTCGTTCTTCTTACTGGTCCGCAGATTACCAGAGTGAGTACTACGGTCCTGGAGGCAACTACGACTTCTTCCCGCAAGGACCGCCATCCTCGCAGGCCCAGACGCCAGTGGATCTACCCTTTGTGCCATCATCTGGACCTTCGGGGACGCCACTTGGAGGTCTGGACCACCCGCTGCCTGGCCACCACCCTTCCAGTGAGGCGCAGCGATTCACTGACATCCTGGCACACCCACCGGGGGACTCGCCTAGTCCTGAGCCCAGCTTGCCCGGGCCTCTCCACTCCATGTCAGCGGAGGTCTTCGGGCCCAGTCCACCTTTCTCATCGCTGTCGGTCAATGGTGGAGCCAGCTATGGGAACCACTTGTCTCACCCTCCTGAAATGAACGAGGCAGCCGTGTGGTAGCGGGGTCTCGCATGGGCCACGGGAGCCGTGGTTGTATAGAGACGAGCTTTTATTTCAGAAAAATAGGAGATTAAAAAAAAAAAAACCATAAAAAATCAAGCCTCCTGCTCCACTTCCTTCAGCCTCGGGGACCATTCTTTTTGAGGAGACTGGATGGCAAAAGGGGTCCAAAATAGGATCCAAATCCTCACAGTAGAGCTGGTATATCCATACACTGGCTGGCAAAGCGCAGAACTGTGGCTCTGGAAGGGGAATTCGGAGCTATCCCTATCTTTGCGATCTGGATCTGGATCTGGATCCATGGGCAGACTCCACCGGTTCCTCTGACTAACTGGAAGATGTCTTGGACAGCTGAAGCCTCGCCTCCACTCAGTCCTGGGCAATGCCAGGAGCCTGGGGAGGGAGACCTTCCTAGAGGCGCTCTGCCAGATGAGGAAGGAAAAGACGTCAAGGGCGCTCCAGTCCAGAGGGTTCTAGTTCTAGTTCCGGGAGATCCCTTAGTGTTGTCTCAGAGTTCAGCGACGACAACAAGCTCTTAATAGCTTCAGAAACACCGACCTGCTGTGCATCAGGTGGGACTATATATATATATTTTTTGTCTATCCGGGTTTTTGATTTTTGTTTTCACCAAAATTGCAAAATTCTAAATGTAAAGCCCTCAGTTATCAACTCTTCTACCTTCACACCTCTCTCTTTCTCCCTCTCTCTCTCTCTCTCTCTCTCTCTCTCTCTCTCTCTCTCTCTCCCTACACACACACACACACACACACACACACACTTACATTCACCTTCTCTCCACAGGATGGTCTCCAGCCAGACCTCTCAGTAAAATGACTTGAACATCACCTCTACAAAAAGTATTCTACCTTCACACGAAAGTTAAAAAAAAAAGACTATTGAACTAAAAACAGTCAACTGTTTACGTATAATGTTAAATTCAGGAGTTCAGTGTTTTACTAATATATCCTGTTTTGAAACCTCTTGTTCAAAAACAAAATGTTTTGAGCAATCAACCAAAATTGTTCCTTTTCTTTTCCTGTAGATGTTCTGACAGATTTGCAGGGCTTGCGGCTCACTGTGCTAGTATGTAAAAAGGTGTTGTTTACACGAGGCAAAGGAAAAACATGATATTCAGACAGTTGCCAAATAGAATAAATTATAGCACAAATACTGTAATGGTGCCTGGCACCAGCAACCTGAGAAAGTGTTAACAAAAAAAGTGTTACAAGGTTTAAAAAAACATCTTTGCTAACTTTTAGTCCTGTTAAACATTCATGAAATTGTTAATATGACTTATATAGACCCACACAGGTTTTATTTTTGTGTCTTTAAAATAAAAGTCCAAAATATTTAAATTTTATGGTCAAATATGCAGTCAACAGCTGCTACTTTTTCCTTTATATATTAAATTTCTCATATGTCTTTTATTGTTCTAATAAACCTAAGCTTGTGTGACCTCCAGTGCATATTAGACCATTCACTGTATGAAAGAAAACATGTTGAATAAATTTGTGAGTTTTTAATAAAAATAGAAAACCTGATGTTTAGATAACTGGTGTGGTATTCCATGTTTTTGGTGAGTGGAAGGAAGTCCCAATAGAGTGTTGAATGGACCCTCAGAAGCAGTAGGAAGGGAGGCTAGATGGGAGTGACTTGGTGACGGGGAGTCACCTTGACTCTGGTTGAAGTTCTTTCCCAAAGCCTTCCAAGCATTCTTTGGCTTCCTGCTGTTATTAAATACAGATTTGCACTCTCTGGGTTTAACTGATAAAGTTGAAGAGATATTTGCTGATAAGTTAATATAGAATTGGAAATAGGAATCAAATCCATGGCTCAAAAAAAAAAAAAACCCAACTGAGTGATTCGGGGGTCTGTGATTAGGGGAGAGAACCCAAACAGTCCCCACCTCTCTGCACTTGCAAAGCCAGGCTTGTGAATGTCAGATACTTGTAAATACAGTTAGACCTAGTCTTTTACAGCTTCGATTCATTTTCCACAGATAATCCTGCTTTCTAATTTGGTGGGTTGAAAGATAACTGAAAATGAATATAAAGTATAACTAGAAATGAGATCCTTTAATCCTTTTCACAGAACTGATATGAAATTGTTATTTTATAGTATTTGCTACATTTGAAGTTCCCCAGAAGAAAAACTATTTTGTCTGGCATAAGATACATATTAAGTTTCTGTGGAAGATGAATAAAAATGACCAATAGAGAAATCAAATTACAACTGGGAGTTGGCAACAGAAAGGGCCTGAGAATAGTTAACTCCCACCCAAACTTTCATTAGAAATGGAAGACATGTGAATGTTTTCTTCTGTGAAAATAATGTGTGGGTGTTTGAGTGTTTTAATATCAGGGTCCCAGCGTTTCTTTACCATAGCAGCTAGATTTCAGTCTGGATTATTCCTTATTTTAAAAAAAACCAAGCATTTTACATTAAATTGTATGCAATTTCTAGCACTGTTTGCTTATTTTGTAAAGACATAGCCAAGTTTATTTTTCCCGTAGAGAGGGCTTTAGAGTACGCTATATTTCATTGCCCTCCTATGATGGCTTATCTAACTAAGGACAACCAGGGAGGAATCTGAATTTTCTTTCAGAAACAAAAATTTATGAAATACAAGGGAGACTTCGGAAACTCAGCCGACCGGTGGCACACAGCACATTTTCTTAATACGCAATAACGGTCTCTGTGTTTTTTTCTTTTAGCATTTATAAACATTAAATCATAGCTCACATTCATTATAGCCACCACCCTGGAACCCTCCCCCTTAAAGGCATTCATTTAGCTGAACCTAGGCTCATCGGGAAGTGGCACTTTCCTATCAAGGGTGCTGAATTATTTAGCAGCTTTATTGTGCTATCGGAGTAATTGATAAGAAACGCTCTAAGAGTTGGGCCGGCGGGCGTGGATTCAATTCTAACTCCAAGGTGGTGGCTCGGTCTTTCCCTCTCTGGGTCATTGTGAAACCCAGTGAATACCAGGACAGGTGGTAACAGATCAGCAGGGGCTGGGTTGCTTTCAGCTCTGCTGCGCACCTCGGGCCCACCAAACCTTTCCCTCCCAGAGCTCCTGGGAGAAAATGACAGGAAGAAGGGAAGGGTCTTTTGGTCCCCTGTCGCCCCCTCCTATCAGGGAGGGCAGCCTCTCCACAGCAGGATTTGGCAAGCACTTATCTTTCCCAAGCTCTAGGTGCTTGTAGTCAGGGTTCCAACCTCAGAGAGCTGCCATCTAAGCTGAGGGTCTCAAAGCTCACCCACTCAACTTACCCCCCTAGCAGCTTGTTTTGATGCAAGGCCGCACAAGAAGGCAGGCAGATTAGTGCAGACCCAGGACAGGTCCTGTCAGGGGTCGAGCCTGAGGCTGATGCTGTTTAGGAAGACAGGTTAGAACCTGGTTTCTCCACAGTCTCAAAACTAGCTGTTCCTGACCATCGGAGGGAGGTGTCTAATTTAGTCACCTCTGTCCATCCATCGCTGTCCCTGGTTCAGGCAGCAGATAGAGGGAGGTGAACCTCAAATGCCTGTCTTCTCCTGGCAGGGCAGCCTGTTCATCTGCATGCTCCTCTTTGCTCAGCCCACCTGCTCTATAGCCTACAACACTTAAAGGTTGAAACTTCTTCAGGAAGCTAGACTGCCCTTTACTACCCCCTCCCACAGCCCACCCTCCAACTCCAGTCCCACTCCTCCCTAGTCTGGAGCCCTTCACCTGCCTTTCAAGAAACAAGAATGCAACTGGAGAAGGGACTCCTGGGCATTTGAGTGGTCTCTCCATTGCTCATGTGTTAACTTCCCTTAATTGTCCCTTAAGCTTTACCATTCTTTCTTCTTCACTCCCCTCCAGGAAGAAGATTCCTGGGGTAGGAAAGCCTTGGAAGCAATTTGGGGGGAGGGGTAAATGTGTCAAGAGTAAAGTGTTATTGACTACTTCCTTAAAAAAATGGGTCCCAAGTCAGGAGCAGCTAAGACAGGAGAGGGAGCGTTGGTAAGCAGACTCATGGCACCTTACACTGTTTGCTCAGCTCTGCCTCAAATAGGCCAACAATGTCCTGTATTCATTGCAGCTTCAAGGTGATCTCTGCCCGGCTTCCTTTTCTCTTTCCCCCTTTCTCCTTACCTTTAAGGGCAGGTTTCTAAGCCCTCATAGCACCTGAAATAGCAAGGGAGGAGGATCTGGGAGAATAGAATTTACTAAATATGAGGTAGGAGAACATTTTTCTCTATGCCCAAGGCTACTGAACCTCGGAGAGAACTGAGGAGCACATTTTTATTTTATTTTTGCTATGGAGGCTCTAATATAGACACAACTGCAATCACAGAGAGTACCTTACAAAACAAGCTCTCTAAACTACTCTCAGCTATACAGAAATTTTTTTTCCTGTCTGAGTTTCTGCCTAGTCTGACATTCTTTGCTCTCCTTGTCTGAAAGGCTTTACCCTAAAACAGTCGCTTTTTTCTCTTTTGTAGGCTTGGTCATCTTCACTCAAGGGCCAGTTAGGACAGGAACATGAGACATGCCACACTAAAGTAGAAATCTCTTAGTACCTGAATCTGGGGGTCTCTGAATTGTCTTCCAGTGGCTTCCACTGGGGAGCTACCAGTTGCCTACATTGCTGGCTTTGGGATCCAACTGGCCTGGAGTATACTTAAAAATGGTACTGGCCTGGGAATTTAGAACTGGGAAAGTTCCTGCTTAGCATACATAGCCCTCTGGGTTCAGCCCCTAGCTCTGAATAGACAGGATGTAGTGGCAGGGATATGCTTCTAATCCCAGTGGAGGCAGGAGGATCAAGGAATTCAGGGTCATCTTCAACTACTTAGTGTGCTGGAGGCTAGAGACTGTCTCAACATACGAACAGGCATGGACACAGTGTCTATTATTCAAGTCGTTTTTTTACTGGACTCCTTTGAGCCAGCTTTCCTGGTTACAGTAGATTCTAGGTCTCCATGGAGGAAGACATCCAACAGATCAGTATAGACAGACTACTTTATACT